ACCACACAGGTGCCAGGGCCTGTCAGAGAATTAGCATTCAAAAAATGTTGGCTGAGTGAGCGATGTCTTAGATTGATTTCTCCTGTAGAGCTCACCACAGGACAATTTATGTTTCCCATTTTGAGATTCATTTTATCTTTGCATTGGCAAATAATGCTATAGTGAACCCCTTTCTACCGCTGGCCTTTTTCTCCTTGGTTTTTGAAGCAATTTTACTGGGCCAAAGGGTATTGAATTATTTTTTCTTCCCACTTTGCCTTGCAAAATTGCATACTGGTGGGTTGTTTTTGTTTTTTTTTTTTTTTTTTAAGTTGGGAGGCTGGTAAGAATCAGAATGATAATCAGAAAACCTTTGTGTCCGGAATTGGTTCCTTGTGGTGGGATCTTGGTCTCGCTGACTTCAAGAATGAAGCCTGGGACCCTCAAGTGTTACAGTTCTTAAAGATGGTGTGTCTGGAGTTTGTTCCTTCAGATGTTCAGATGTGTCCGGAGTTTCTTCCTTCCCGTGGGTTTGTGGTCTCGCTGACTAAAGGAGTGAAGCCGCAGACCTTCGCAGTGAGTGCTACAGTTCTTAAAGGTGGTGCGACCGGAGTTGTTCGTTCCTCCCTCCCTCCCGATGGGTTCGTGGTCTCCCTGACTTCAAGAGTGAAGCCGCAGACCTTTAGGGCGAATGTTACAGCAGACCCAAAAAGTGAGCAGCAGCAAGATTTATTGTGAAGAGTAAAAGAACAAAGCTTCCACAATGTGGAAGGGGACCCAACCGGTGGCCTCTGCTGACTCAGGTAGCCAGCTGTTATTCCCTTATTTGGCCCCGCCCACATCCTGCTGATTGGTCCATTTTACAGAGTGCTGATTGGTCCATTTTAGAGAGGGCTGATTGGTCCACTTTACAGAGTGCTGATTGGTCCACTTTACAGAGTGCTGATTGGTGTGTTTACAAATCTTTAGCTAGACACAGAGGGCTGATTGATGCATTTTTTACAGAGTGCTGATTGGTGCATCTACAAACCTTTAGCTAGACACAGATGCTGATTGGTGTGTTTTTACAATCATCTAGCTAAACAGAAAAGTTCTGGAAGTCCCCACTCCACCCAGGAAGTTCAGCCGACTTCAGCTCTCACCTTGACCTTCCTTCATGGTTTGTAATCGCCTGATGGGGTCTTCCTGCCCACTGCACAGACAAAACCAACTCATTGAGACTGTGGCATTGCAATAAAGAGTTTAACTGATGTGAGGCTGGCCATGCCACCTGGGAGACGGAGCTGCTACTCAAATCACTCTCCCTGAAAATGTGAAGGCTGGGGTTTCACCAGGGTAGTTTAGTGGGTGGGAGCTAGAGGAATGGGTGCTGCTGACTGGCTGGGGATGCAGTCATAGGGTTGTGGGAAAGGCTCCTTGTGCACTGAATCTGTTTCCAGGTGGGGCCACAGGACTGGTTGAGCCAACAGTCGAGGGTCCAGGCGGGACCATCCAGTTGTCAGAAATGCAAAAACCTGAAAGGATTTTTGGTTGAAATGAAAGGGTTGCATTTCAAAAGGCCAATATTAGGTTCTATAATAGTGAATTGGGAAACTTGCAAATCTTGTGACCTCCGGAATAATGACTGGTAGCCATTTAACTCAATTCTGAGCAGAATTCAGGTGGCCTTTCATCAGTTGGCTTTGGGGGTGGTGGGAACCAAGTGGGCAAGACAGCTGAGGCTCGGCCACACACACAGAAAGCACCGACCCTGTGTGGGATGACAGATGCTAGGACAAACGTGGGGACCTGATGTGACAGGCATGGGAACAGCAGTGCCATGGTGATGTCTAATGGATAATTGTCAGCAAGTGCTGTCTGCCCTACTTTCAAGGGATGTCCAGGAGCCAGCCCTTCCCCCCACCCACTCCTGCTGCCACCCCTCTGGTCCTGTCACTGTCATCACTTGCCTGGATCCTTGCAGTGGCCTCTCTGGGCTCCCTCCACCCACCCGCTCGTGGGTCCCCGGCCCATACAGCATCCAGAGGGCTCCAGGTCCCCATTGCATTCCTTCTCTGCTCAGAAGAGGCTCCCCTGCCAGTGTAAAAGGCAGAGTACTTCAGGGCCCTGTGCGAACTCCTGCTCCCTTGACCTCTGAGTCCTCACCTCCTCTTACCCTCCGCCGGCTTCCCTTCAGCCACACCAGCCCCCTGGCCATTCCCCCAACGATTCAGGCACCCTCGGACCTCCAGGCCTTTGCACTGGCTGAGCCCTCAGGCCAGGCCGGCTCTTCCCAGATGCGCACACGGCTCACTCACCCACTTCTTTTAAGCCTTTGCTTCCACTCTATCTAACACACCAACACCACCCACCCACCCCAGCTCGATCTTTCTCCTAAGCACATTTCCAGTTGAACATACAACATATGATCTCTATTTACCACCATTATTGTCTGACTTTCCTCACTGAAATCGGAACCCTAAAGACAGGAATTTTCTTGTTTTGTGCACTGTGGTAACTGCTCAGCAACTCGAACAGTGCCGGGCACATGGAGTAGAAGCTCAATAAGTATTTATTGAATAAATGAATGAATAGTGTTTGCTGAAAGAACCTTCACACTTGGGAATATTTTAAGTGTTGCTGCAATTCCCGACCAGCAAGATGCAGAGGAAAACCTTGAGAAGAGGACCCAGAGAAGGAAACCACAGTGTTTACAACCAGCATCCGAAAGAGCGAAAATGCCAGCTCAGACCTGGAGCCTGGTCACGGAGGACAAAGGTCCTGACAAGGACTGTACCATGCAGAGGTCACTGCCCTCTCACTACCTGGGGTATGAGATTCTCCTTCATTCAACAATATTCAATGAGACAGTCAATCTGATTCCTAACAGGAGGGACCAAGGCAAGGTGGTCTAGCCAGCCAGTAGGATTGAGTGACAACCACAGAGCCATGCCAGAATTAGAGGCCACGCAGGAGGTTCCACAAATGCACTTCCTTGGTGCTGACACCACAAAGCCAAAGAAATGAGGCTTCTTGATTTGATTGCAGACTCAGCAAAAATGAACCTAAGCCTGCTCCTCATGGCTGGGTCATGTCCTAGGGAGGCACCAGCGTTCAGCTTGGCCTGCTTCAGTATATAGTTTTTATCCCTGTGTGTGTTCTGTTGGGACTCTGTACATTTAGACATCTGTGCAGGGGGACTCGTGAGGAGACCAGTCTCCCTGGCAGGCCTAGATGTAGCGTAGCCTGAGGCAGGAGGGGAATACAGGTGGAGCTGGATGTTCTTTCAGCCTCCCTGGCAGAGATCAAGGTCAGCTTGGCCAAACTTCTGCCGTGGCTGGCTCTTATGTGGGGGAGGGAGGCAGTCCCCAGAGCAGGAATGCCTTCCCTGGGGCTCCTTTCCTTGCAGGGGAAAAGCCAGCCATCCTCCCCTCCATGTCTCCTTCAGTAAAGCCTGTGAGTGAGCTGGGGAATCCGTGCCCCAGGGGCAAACCTCTGGGCTCTGGCTTAGCCCCACCCCGGGGAAACATTCACAGCCCCTGGTAAGAGAGCCCTGCTGCAGGAAGACTCCAGGGCAGGGCCCAGCTGCCGGGTCCTGGGCTGTCGGTGACAGTACCCCAGGCTCCAAACTCTCTGGGCCTGGGGGCAATTCCCTTCCTTGGTTACAACAGATTCCCACCCCACCCCACCCTACCGCCTGGGCCTGGGCAGGGAGGCATGGGGAGGTTGCAGGAGAGGGGAAGCAGGGGCCAGACAGGAGAAAGAGATGATGCCCTGGGCCAGATGGTCACCGCACTGCTGAAGTGAGAAACTCTGGCTTCTCCCAGTAGAAACTTCAGGATCCCCAAAATTGGACCAGCAAATAAACTTAGTGACAGTCACACCAACCTTCTGGAAACTCACTGTAGGCGTCCACTGCCCCTGTGGGTCCCCAGGACCCCTCTGCCTGTGGCCTCAGGGACCCAGTACTGCACTTCCAATGCTCTGCAGACACACCTCGGGCTTGAATCCCATCTCACTGGTTCCACAAATACTGATCTGTGGCCTACTGGCTGCGAGGCCTCTGTGGCTGTGGGGGAGGCAAGGTCCCTGCTCCAGTGGGAGTGACAGGTGTAAAACAGGACGACTTCAGAACCTGGGAAGGGGGACAAAGCAGAGTACTGGGAAGTGGGTGGGCACAGGGCAGCCTGGGATGGGGGAAACAGCAAATCTTTGCCATCCGTTCCTGGTCGTATATCATTGGGGATGCTACCTGATTTCAGCCTCAGTTTCCTCACCTAGACAGTGGAGCTGGAGCCCTCCCCACTGCCAGACCCCACTCTCTGGGCTGCCTCTAGGAAGCACAACCTGCTCAGGCCTCCTCCCCATCCCCATGGCTGTCAGTCCCTCCTGAGAATGTCTCCACAAAAGGAGGCCGCTGGCTGTAGAGGGAGATGAACGACCCAAGGTTGCCCGGCCTGTGCCTAGGGCCCCATGGCTCCTGAGGCCTGGCCTCGGTGGACCCTGGAAGGGGCTTTCTCTGTGGGTTTTGCCCTGGTGCCTGGAGCCCCTTCCCTATGGACACCTCTCAGCATGATTAACACAGGCAGACAGGACTTGAAGGGGCCATTGGTCCTTCTGAAAATGCTCACCAGTCAGTGTGAGTGTGGGGAGACCATGCACAACGTGTGGGACTCTGCCCTGCATCCGCTCAGAGCCTCAGCCCTTCAGAGCCACTGGTAATGATTCGCTGTGGGGTTACCCTGATTCTTCTGAGGTCTCTTTTCCTTTCAGTTTTTCTGAGAAACTGAGAGGATCACATGACTGCATGCCGCCTAAACTAGGCTGTGCACAGCCCCCGTTCTGTGCAAGGAGGGCGCAAAGCAGCAGAGTGTCTGTGACCCACCTGCCACCTTTCCAATACTACTACAAGATTTGCAGGAAATGGTTGTTTATCAGGAACCATCTTTATTAAAAACGATAAAATAGAGCAGGGCAGGGGAGAAGTGCTGCAGGCTCCCGTGTTGCTGAGCACACAGCAGCGTGGGCATCTCGTCACGCTCCTCCCCAAAGCCATTGGTGTCCACTGTCAATGTTCTTGGACCTCAGGGCCTTCGTCCTCTCCAGTCTAAATGCAGAGTGACATTTGACACGGACTCTTTCAGGTGTTTTGCAAAACAACAACAACAACAACAACAAACATTCTCATTGACTCTCGTCACCCTGCTATGCACTAGATGTCAAAACCTCTTCCTCCTCTCCAGACTTTGGTCCTTTGACCGACACCCCCCCCCCATTCCCTCCCTCTGCCACTCTCCTGCCCCTGGTCACCATCCATCTACTCACTATTTCTATGGGGTCTACTTTTTTAGATGAACACTTCCGGGACATCATGTGGAATTGGTCTCTGAGGTGGTGGAGATGCTAAGTAGCGGGATTTCCTCCTTCCACAGTGCACACATCTATCGAATCCTCACATTGTACCCCATGAATGAATACAAGCATGATTTGCCAATTAAAATAATACTAATAAAGACAGAATAAATGCAGTAAAATACAAGAAGTGTGGCTTCACCTCCCCACCTACTTGATTTTTGTCTTCAGTTGTGCAACTATGTTGGGGCAATCTTATTACTCCTTTTCTTCGGTGGACGCCTGCAACAAAATCTTAACAGAATTGAAAGGTGCATCGTCTGGCAGCCCTGCGGCAGCCCCAGCTTCTTGTTGGCGAGGCTGACATCACAGCCTCGGGCTGCCCAGCTTGGACAACGCTGGCTTCCTGCGATGGTTTTCGCTGGGCCAGGGACGTTTCTGGGTCTCTGCCACTGCTGCTGGTGGTGTGGGTGGAGGGAGAGCCCACAGGGTCATGCTGGGGGGCTTTGCTAAAACTGTCTGGCTTCCTCTGCAGGCTGGCAGGGACACTGGCAGGAACAGTGGTCTTCTGCTGAATGCTGAATATGGGACACGCTGGCTCGCTGTGAGCCTGCTTCGGTGGGAGAGGGAAGGTGGAAACTTCAGTGGCTAGAGAAGGACAAGTGGGAAGGGACTGTGGTCTGATGGTGGACTGCTGCTTTTGTTTGTTCTAAAAGGAGGTAGGTGGCCACAGGATAGTGAAATGCTTTTTTCTTTTAATTGGCACAGAGATGTTATTGGCCTGGAATCCTGTTCTTGGCCACCATGAGCTGGGTTGTTTGGGAGTTCTGGTATCCAGAAGTGGCTCTTTGTATGTTGTCAGTGGCATCTCCTGGCCACAGTTCACTCACTGGTTCCTCATAACTTGTTTCAGTGGGGGCCACTCCCTGGGGTCTAGTGTTAGCAGCTTTTGAATGAGTCTTTCAAGTCGAAGGGGGGAAAAAATGGTGGGGCATGGTAGCTTCCTGTGAGAATTTTATTCTTGAGGTCCATCGTGTTCCCTGAATAGAAGGGCAGGGCCCCGGCCACCATATGGTAGAGGAGGACGCTGAGGCCCCATATGTCCGTGGCAGGGCTCTGGTACCCCCAGCCCAGGAAGAGTTCTGAGCAGGAATGGTGGGCTTCTGCCCTCACTTCTCGCCCTTCTTGGGCAGTCAAAACTTAAAAGTGGGAACAGCCGGCTCCCTTTGAGCTCTCTTTGGCTCCACGGGGAAGGTGGACTTTGTCAGATGGGGAAGAACAGGTGGGACCCCCAGGAGGAAGGGACTGTGCTCCAATGACGGAGCGCCTCCTCCTCTGCACTTCTCCTGTACCCCAGGATTAGGTATGAGGCCTCCAATGTTGGAGCGGTTCCTCCTCTGCACTTCTTCTGTACCCCAGGATTAGGTACGTGGCCTCCAATGATGGAGCGGTTCCTCCTCTGCACTTCTTCTGTACCCCAGGATTAGGTACGAGGCCATGGGATAATCATATGTGTATTTTTTTGTGGGGGGGAATATTGATTCCGAGATGTGTGATGCTTGGAATCCCATGGCCACCATGACCAGGGTTATAGGGGACACAGGTGTCCAGGGTCTCTGTATGGTGTCAGCGGTGTCTTCTGGCCGGCACTGACCCAGGGGTCCCACATCAGCTGGTTTAGTGGGGGTCGCTCCCTGGGGTCGAGGCTGAGGAATTGTTTTACTAGTATTTCCAGTGGAAATGAACAAATAGGTGGGGAATCATACTGTCACATAGCCTGAGGCGGGAAGGGACCAGGGGTGGGACCCACGGAGGCTCTGAGAAAGGCCTGGGCCTCAGAAGATGGGGAAGCAGGAAGACCCACTTGGAGGCCTTCACAACCTTCACAGGCCAGAATTCGGTTTAGGTTTCAGAAGGGGGCTGGGTCCCTCACGCTCTTCCTGAGGCTACAGGGCTGCAGCTCCTTGGGCTCTTCCCACACAGACATGGTTCTGGGGCCCCCGCTACACAGACACCCTTCTGATGGTTGTCCTCTGCAGCCAGGCAGGGGGCATGGGCCGACCCGCCCCTTCCTTTGCCAGGTGGACAGATGAAGTGAGCCTGTGAGGGCAGGATTGCTGGATTGGAAATTGGACTTGGAGTGTAATCCAAACACCCCACGGGCCCCGCCTCTTCTCTGGAGCTTGGCTTCAAGAAAACTGGGACAAGGGATGGCAAGACCAGCTCTCAGGACCCTTGCCCCTCCACCCCGTGATGCTTTTAGATGGTTCTCAAGGGCCACCTTTTTCAGAAAGAATTCTCGGGTTATGGGAAAGTAAAGGGAGGAATCGTGCTTTGAATGGCACTTTGATCAGGCTCTAGACTAGGTGTTGGTTTGAAGGGGTTTGCTTTTCCTCCCACTTCACCCCCCGTCACAAAACCTTAGTCCTGGCTAGGCCGGGAGTGAGATTCCTGTTTCTAGATTTTCATCATTCTGTGTTGCACAGGAGGAGGTCTGGGGAAAAAGGGGACACATACTAGCAAGCATATAGAAGATTTATATGCACCAGGCTCTGGAGCAGCTGTTGAACTCTGGTCGAGCGGCCTCGGGTCTCCATAGAGATAGGGGCGGGGCCAGGTGGCAGTGACGCAGTGCGGGGCGTTGCTCCCAGTGGCCGACGGCCCCGCCCAGCCTGGGCAAAGAGTCAGAGCCGGGACTGGGAGGCAGAGCCAGAGACCCGCAGGCACAGCCGAACCCTTGCGAGCTTGCCCAGTAGGGAGCTCAGGATCCCCAAGACTAGACAGGCAAATAAGCTTAGTGACAGTTCCACCAGCCTTCCCGAGAGTCACCGTAGGCGTCCACGGCCCCTGCGGGTCCTGAGGCCTGCTCTATCAGGCGACCTTGGGGACGGACCCAAGGCTGCACTTCCAATGCTCTGCAGACACACCTCAGGCTTGAATCCCAGGGTCTCACTGATTCCACAGATATTGATTGAGGGCTTCCTGGGTGCCAGGGCTGTGTGGCTGTCAGGGAGGCAAGGTCCCTGTTCCAGGAGGGGTGACAGGTGTAAAACAGGACGACTTCAGAACCTGAGAATGGGGACAAAGCAGAGTACTGGGAAGTGGCTGGGTGGGTGTGGGGCAGCCTGGGACGGGGTAAACAGCAAACCTTTGCCTTCTGTTCCTGGCCAGATTTCACTGGGGATGCTACCTGATCTCTCTTCAGCTCAGTTTCCTCACCTGGACAGTGGAGCTGAACCCACGCCCCACTATCTGAGCCTGCTCTCTGGGCTGTCTTTAGGGAACCCACCCTGCTCAGGCCTGCTCCCCACCCTCCATGGCTGTCAGTCCCCCAGGAGAAGAAGGTCTGCCATATGGAGGCTGCTGATAGCAAAGGATGATGAACAAGCCAAGGTTGCCCGGCCTGCATGCTGGCCCAGGTGGATACTTGAAGGGAGTTTCTCTGTTTGTGGGCTTTTGCCCTGGTGCCCTTCCCTATAGTCCCTTGACCCAGCCCAGCTCAATGGGCTGGAAGCCCTGGCTTCTGAAGAGGAGATGTCAAGCTCTAGCACAGGTCACAGCCAGAAACAATTCTGGCCTTGTCCAATGATAGTAAAAGTCAGGCCTGGGAAGGTGCCCTCTCACAGGACGGCACTTTCAGAGGGGGCACAGCAGCAAGGTGGAGGGACAGACTCTGACCGGCCCTTGGGGAGCTCAAGCAGAACCCACAGGGGCCCTCTTTCTGGGGTACAAACTGGCATTGGGTGGTGGGAGATCCAGTATTAACACCTGAGGGACCTTCACCCCCAATGTGGATTTAAAGGACAGCAGCTCACTGGGGAGACAAGAGGCTCCACAACACTCACACCCTATCCTGAGACTGCTTCTTGCTACCTGGTCCTGCTCTTTATTGGGGAAGGAGAATCTTACCTGAATCAACAGTGGGCAGAGTCACCGCATGCTCAAGGCTGGGCACACCTAGATGCCGGCCATGCACAAGGGTGGTGCCTTCTGGACCTTCCTCGGGCTCCTTGGGAACCCCCGAGGAAGCTCCCTGATGGGTGCTGATGGGCATCTGCACCCATAGATTCACTGCCTGACATGGAAACACTGGGTTCCTGGGAAACTGGAACCTGCCTTATGAAAGCCCCCATTCCCATCACCCCCTCCATCCCTCCAGGCTGCTGCTGTGTCTTACCATCAACCCTCCCCAGACCCCCAGGACGCCTGCCTCACCCAGAAGCACCCCTTCAACCTGGGCCTGGATGAAGGCTCACTCCTCCATCAGGCCTCTGAGGGGGATGGGCTCCGTGCTGCTTTTAGCAAAAGGGGAAACCATTGCAGCAGAAAGGCCAATGCCGCACTAGACAGTCAGGAGCCCAGCAGCACAAGTGGCCCCCTAAGGCGCTTTGGGAACCACACCCTGCCACTGACCCCAGCACAGCCTGGTTCCCAGGGCTTTGGGATCCTCCTGGGAACCTCTCAGAAGGATTAACACAGGCAGTTGGGACCTCAAGGGGCCACTGGTCCTTCTGAAAATGTTCACCAGGCAGTATGAATGTAGGAAGACCATGCACAATGTGTGGGACTCTGCCCTGCACCCGCTCAGAGCCTCAGCCCTTCAGAGCCACTGGTAATGATTCGCTGCAGGTGGGGTCACCCTGATTCTTCTCTGAGGTTTCCTTTCCTTTCAGGCTTTCTGCATAATAGCGAGAACCACATGACTGCATGCCGCCTAAACTAGGCTGTGCACAGCCCCCGTTCTGTGCAAGGAGG